TAATTTGCTGAGCAATGGACTAGTTCAAGGGACCACCTTGGCAGGCGAAGTTGAGATCCCTTATTTCTTTATATATATATATATAAAAATAATTTTTAAAATTTTCACTCCTATGTGGAGCATAGTGATGTTCTGGAGGATATTTGTTATTAGCGTTACGTAATTGTTTTGACCGTACAAGTTCTGTATTCATCCGATTTCTAAAGCTTTCCAGTAAAATAAATATTCTGTGGGAATTGATTGACCCCATAAAGCTAAAGATAGAGAGAGAGATAAGAAGGATAGCAGAGGAGTAGAAGCAAAGAGAAAATTGGTGGGGTAGAAGTAAGAGACAGTTCGATTTCTGGAGGGGGGGGGGAGGGGGGGAACAGCATCTTGTAGTTAGAAGTTTCCCATTCAATGCCCGCTCGCCCTTGTGGTAAGGATAGTGTAAGGGTGAAGACGTTAGGGCGATAATTAGTGACAGTATGCTAGCAGAAACGACGGGAATTTTGAATTGCTTATTAGAAAACGCTGAAGCTAAAATTTGCAAAGTTAAGTAAATAATTTAGCTGCATCAGTTTGAAGTGGGGGGGGGGGGATTTGACGAGTTTAAATAGGGAGGGCTGCATAAGAAGCCTGCAGTGTCAACTTGGAACTTGAGAACCATCTCAGAACTTGCTTAAAGACAGAGGAAAACCTGTGTAGAGATGGCCGGTCGCATAGCCTTCCGGACTGAGTACTAGCCAGCTCTCCAGCAGACAAAAGAGAATACAGTTTCCCTAGCTTGTCTAAATAATTTTAATTCAGTCTGTACCGCAAAGAGAACAACTTTTCACCATTGTAAAATCATTTAGTCAACGACGTTTAATGAAATAATCGCTGTTTACACTCAGATTCATACGGAAGCATAAATAAAAAATGCAGTGTTTCAGTTTTTTAAGCGGATTGTACATCTAATTACCAGTGGACTTAGAAGATTGATATTCTAATTATGAAATAGGGTAACGTGTAATTGCTTTCTAATACAGAACTTAGACCACGTACAAACTATATCCTGATATATTAAAAGAACAGTGGTTCTGTCTTCTGCGTTATAGGAAAGATACAAGTGAATGTGATTTTATTCATAATGCTCGTACGTACGCACATATTGCATTCAGCTGCCTAAAATCAGGAACCAATGACAGGTTGTGAACAGCATGAGAAGTCCAGGGCTCTACAGACCCACTCGCGACTGAGAAATCAAGGCCGTTGAGCGAGGACTTCGATTGTCCGTCAATTTTATTTTCACTTTTTCTCTCCAGATAGCGAACAATGTTACTGTCGTGGATATGTGAGTTTTGTTAACGCGGCAATGCCGTATTTTAAAGTAAGAAAAGTATAAATTGTTACCAATTGTTTGCTAAAAACAATACTGTTGATAACGCCTTGTCTCGTGGCGGAAATTTCTGGCTAAGATAATCTTTTCTGACTGATTGAACTGAATCAGCACTTGTTTCGTCCTGTCTCAGGCTACGAATTCCTACTTTTTAAGGAACTCTTATATTCCCAGAGGCACAGTTATCGCGTGATTATTCTTAAATGAATTCTGAGTGTAGTAACTTGAGTATTTAAATAACGGTTTCCAGCGCTGGAAGTGGGAAATCCCTTGTCGTGTACAAGCGCGAGCTTGACACGGTCGCCCGGGGCGTACATTCGCCTCTCCGCCTCCTTCCATCCCACCAGCCCCAGCCAGACACATTAGTGCCCATACATCTCATAGCCTTCAGCTTCACTCCCTGACTCCAGCCGTACGATTCCTTGCTTCGTGCGCAAGCGCAGCTCTTCGATTGTTTTGTATCATTCTAACGCACTTATTTCTATTACTTTATCTGTTAATGTATTTATTATTGACATCTTTGCTTCGATATCGCTTAGGAGAAGATGAAAATTTGTATATAGGGCTCGTATCAAAACGGGCCAAAAGAGAAATGTTTATAAGATGGAAGATTTGATAGACTGGCTCTAATGACGTGATTGTGATTCAATTTCTATAAAAGGGATAAGTTAACGAACTGAATATACATACAAAGGACACTGCAGGACGTCTTATCTCTGTGCCATGACTATGTAATATTTAGGCACTCAAAGAATTTCTAGTATGCCTATAAACAAGAAGAAGTATAAATGGTGATAAAATATAATGTTCTGGAAATTGACACTGAAGTGAATAAAAATAAATGAGGTATCATACTGAAATAAATACTTAATGAAGGTGTTGGAGACAAGCTTATGAAACTTTATGATAATAGGAAATTTAAACTCCACACATATATATCAAATAAAAAAGTACAGCGAGTAGTACAATAATAATGTAACTTATATAAAAAACAGTAGCTTAAAAATAAATAAGTATGTGGGCTGAGAACTCTGATGATGGGGACAGAGTTGGTTCCCGAAACGTCGGTAACCAGCTGACGCGGTTGATAGCCCGAGAAGATTTTATTGATTGTACTAGCCGCGAAAGTCTCAAATCCTATAAACTAATTGTTCTTTAAACACCAACAATCCTATATTAAGGTTTGTTGTTATGTAGGTAACGCCTTTATTAACGCATTTAATACAGATATATTACAGACGAAAGATACGGCCTAAAATTAAGCTTTGAAGCTTCTATTTTAGTTGCAGTAAAAGCTCCAGACATGACTAGCAGTTTCCTATCGCTTAAAGGCTATCACGACACGCATCCAAACTTTACATGCCAAGAAGTAAAGACGGAAATCATTATAACACGTAGAAGCCTTGTAAGTGACACGGCGAAGGCCGTGATTTATGAGCGTGTCTCCTAACAATATACCGAAATTATTTCTAATCTTTCAACGTGATGTCAGTCAACTGGCTGACACTTGGCGACAGAGGGAAGGCGATTGAACGCTGTTTCGCGTGCTCTGTACACTTTCTTTGTACACTTCTTGCTTACCCCACTTCACCACGTATTTTTCTGTCATTATTCGTCCACACATTTATATTTTAATGTAATTTATGTTGAAGATTTCTGTCTTCATACTCATAGCTGTGAAAACTTCAAATCATACGTAATTTATGTTTTCTTCAGTTTTAGTTTCTCTCTTAAATTTTACTCTTCCTTTCTTTCTTCAATTGTTGACCACTTATTTCCATGTCATTTTATCGCTCTCCTGTTTTGCTTTATACCTTATGTTCTCTTTTTTACCATTCGCTTACTGTGGAATTTTTATTTTTCCAAATGTTTGTGCTTCCCTTTTATAAGTATTCTCTTCAGTTTTCCTGCCATTGTCATTCATATATTAACACATCTTTTATATCTTGCATATGATTATTCCTAGTTCTTGTATTATAATTTTCTCTCTTTTATTATTTTATGTAAGTTCTTTCTTCTTCTTTGCTTATGTAATATTCCATTCTTTAACTTTGAACTTTCCTGATTACTCTTACACTTAAATTGAATACTTATTTGCTCTGGCGTTATTGTTATTTACTGCTATTTTATTTTCCTATAGTATTTATTTCACATAATATTTTATATTAATTTCTTTTGTCTTCAGATTTATGATGCTTTAATTAAGTTATTTGCTTTCTTAGGCGTCACTAACTCTTTCATGTCACTTTAATGAAGGCTAGAATTTCACTGAAAATGTATTTAATGAAAATGAACAAACTGTAATAGTTATCTTATATTGAAGCGGTGGTATACTTGTACCTAACTATTAGAAATGCATTGCTGTTTATATGCAAGTTACACTTGTTAAATTCTCTTATCGATGCGATTAAATTCTTGTATTATTTAAGAAATTTCACATAGCACAGTATATTTTATGTAAAAAGAAAACCGCAGACGAAATTATTATTATTCTCAGAAATATTATAATCACATCCGCTGTCAGTAGTCAAAGTGAATGTTCTGTCCATGTTTCGCTGCCTGCAATTTTTTCTGTTACCAACCTAGTCATTTTATTTAGTAAGAATTCTGATACCAAATACAAACATTTCCTGATGGCATGATATTTCCAGTATTTTTAGTTTATAATTCTTTAAATTAACCAACCGGCAACAATGTGACGTTCGATGGATCATAAAGCTCTCATCAGTAGTCCACTTGATTCACTTCAGCTTTCATACGACAATAAATGTCTTGGTCTTCGTGAAAGAAAAGGTTGGTATACAGAAAATTTGAATATTAAATGACAGCGAACATATTGTAGCATTACACTCATCAATTACTAAGCATGAAACAAGAAATCTGTGACCGTTATGAACACTCGCTACAGACATAAATCATAGTAAAATTTGTCATCTCAACTTTTCAGAGATAGATTATAATTTCCTAGGGGAAGGAAATTTCATAGCATCATCTCATATATTGGTCATCATTAGCAACATCGAATGTAATTATAATGATTAAATTCTGTGGTGTACCAAAGGCAGTTTGATAAATTACGTTTAAACAGCAAACTTTGTGGGAAACTGGGTTAGAGAGAAAGGTGGTAGGAATAGGACGGAAATACAGATGGAGAACGTCATGTGACGTCCGCCACCATAAATGGGTTAGAGTGATATCTGCTTGCAGAAAACTACCCTCAGCCACGCCTCCTTCCTCACCTGCTTCTGAATATACTGAAAAAGTTAGTCAGCACAAGTGGTAACCTCGATCCCAGGTACTTGTGCAAACTAGCAACATTGCGGCATGGTGTTGTATCGGTTTAAAAGTCTCTTAGTCAGTTAAAGACGGAGAAATCTATGACTCTTGTACAAGATATAGAGAAAATTGATTTCAGTGGAAGTGCGAGTAGGTTAACATTGTTTATTTCCCTAAACAGAAAAAATAAATTGGCATAAATCTAAAATAAAAGCTATTTTCACACATAGTATGAGAATTTTAACAACGCTCAACACATAAATTAAATTCACATATATTTTTATTTTACATTTATAATAATTTACAAGTAAATTATTTCTACCAGTTTTTTAACTTACATATCTGTCAATTTCTTGCATTACAGGTTAATGTACAATAGGCAGGTCTTTGGATTACATAAATTACCATCATGAGAACAAGTTATGTAAGAAGTCAATGGGCAATAAGTACACAGTACTTAAGAAAGAGACCATAGATGGCATCAGAACACAATAATATCCATACAATTGAAGTAAAAGTAGAAGACGATTCGAGGTTCAATACACTTCGTTCGTGTCATGGTTATAACCGATCCTGCCCCATTTTCTGACTGACTTCAACCACAAGAAACTTCATAAAAATATCTTCTGGGCTGAGACTGAAACCCCCAAGTGTGTTAGTCATTGGACCATTAGTATAAGTAACACTGTTACTAGTATTACACAGTGTCACTAAATAATCGAAATAAATTAATGTCAGTAAAAGCAAATAAATATGAAACAAGTGAATTTTACAGTCAAGTGTATATAATACCCTGCATTTTAATTCAATTCTTGTATGGGAAAACTTTATAAAACAGCTGTAGGTACTAGTTGTTCAACATGTCGATAAAGCGGAATTATGGTTGGATTCCCCTACCTTAGTACTATTTACATGTGTTATAACATACGTACGTTTACGTACATACGTCCATTCTGTCATACACCCATACATGCCCGTCTAGAGGCTTGCACCAAGGACAAGCAACATGCAACTATGCTTGTAATGGTGTCTGAAACAATGAAAATTGCAGAGATCCGCCTACAGATGGATGTCAATGTGTCACAATGAAATGTCTACGAGTGGAATAAAATGTTTAACAACAGCCAAACCAGTGTTGTTCATGGAGATAGGCAAAGACAACCATCCACATCTACAGACGAACAAAACGTGGCAAGCCAGGGTATTTATATCGCTATTAAGCGTCTAGTATAGCAACATTCTTTAAATCATAGTCACTCGACACAAGTAGACTACAAATGAACCACACTCGCAGCGTGTCACTAGCTGACATCGAGCTACAGCATCACCAGGCCTCAGCAGTGTTAGAATTTTATTATTTATTATTTATTTAGTGTTTTGTCTGACGACAGGTCCATATGAACAGGATCCTTCCATTCTTTTCTCGGACTGGGACCTGTTCATATACGTTCTTGGCAGATGATCTAAAAGTGGTTTGCCATTGCCTTCTTCTGTGTGTGAATGGAGTAATTGTTGGGATGCCATGGAGAAACCGGGGAAGCCCCCGGAGGAAAACTCCGTGTTGCCTAGACCACGGCCTTGCCCAATACAAGTTATAAATTCGGGCATCGCCGGGAATCGAACCCGAGACCTCCAGGATTACAAGGCCAGCGTTCTAACCGTGGCGGGCTGTTAGCAGTTACACAACAACAAAAATATTCCAATACTGCCTTTACTTTTTGAATTACACTCGTAACATAAAAGCTTACATATGTACAAACAGTATAGATAAATAGTTCATAAATGCATGTATATGTACGTTCATACACCAATGCTTGCATATTGCTGTCAGCTGCGTCCTGCTTGATAGAACACAAATGTGATAGAACTTACTTGGCAAATTCCCCACTCTCTCTTCTGAACTTTACCTCAACTGGCAATGAAACAAGGACGAGCGTGCGCTGGGAAATTTTGACACGACAGAAATCAATTTAGGGAGCACCAACCCTTGCTTTTTTAAACATGCAGGATAAATTAGTGTTTTAGGAGGGGATAACAGACGTCAGGTAAGGATGGAAAAAATGGAAGAAATATGGTGAAGGAGAAAGACAGTCCACAATCAGCTATCGGCTCAGTTACTAAACCGGATACTATACATACACGCCATAGCATTCTGTCATGTATACCCTGTTAAGAAATTCTATTCGTATTTTTGAACCTAAAATTACGTTCTTATCCGAAGTTGTGCCGGATAAGAATTATCTTTTAGTATAGCCTATTATTTGCAAAGTATAACATTAAAACGTGCCAAATATTATATTAGTTTGCATGGTTATTAAATGTAGTGTCTCACTATTAGAGAAAGGACGCTATTAAGAATGCCTGAGAAAAAAGCGATGCGAAGAATTTTGAACTAAGGGAGAGAAAATAACAGGAGGCTGGAGAAAAATACATAATGAGGGGCTTCATAATTTGTAATAATCACCTAATATTTTGATGGCAATTAAATTAACTGTGGTAAATGTTTTCACACTTTTCGGAGATGATAAATGTGCCTGTAAATTTTTGTTTGGAAAATATGAAAAAAATGGTGATCGCTTGATAATTCTAAGCGTAGGATGGGGAGATGTACGTTCCAGAGGTGAGAAAATCACTCAAAGCGGAAGATAAAATTTGGAAGACCAAGGCGAAGATGGTAAAATAATGTAATAAGTTACCAAAGTCACACATATCGTGACAATTCTGGTTCATTCGCCACATTTTGTCCTTTGAGAATGGTCGGAGAATTTCGTGGTTTGAGATACATCACACAATTAGTTCAGAGCACAGAAAGCATGTAGGTTTTTATGTAAAGTGTTCATTATTATCTCTCACTTTTGTGTAAAATTGGAATGTGTCGACATGTTTTTAGTAATAATTTTAATATAACATTTTATGAAAATCCTTTCAGTCGTTCTGGAGATGTTTCGTGCTTAAAACAAAATGTGCGGAAACACAGACAAATTCTAATATAGGATCCTCAGGTACTCGAAAAAGCCTAAAATTGGGATATGAGGGTGTGTACTGGGTTCATTTTGTTCAAAATAAGGATGTGTTTCGAAATATTGTGAATACGGTGATGAGCCTATGGTTTTCATAAGGAATTGGGATCTTTGTAACTACTGAGTAGATTGGTTAGAAAATATGCTTTCCCGGATAATCTCAACCTTGAAAATGTAAGAAATACTTAAATTTATTTACAGATATATACACTAAATATTAATATTACTACTAACAGAACGGATTTTATGTAGCATTTAATACGGTATAAACAAACTTATTTCATAAAACGGATTCCAATTATAATAACGTGTCATTGTCGTTAACTTTAGATTTTAGCAACAATTAATTTATGTTAATACGTTAAATAACATGTCACTTTTGTATTTCTTCCATTCTTTTAAACGTTTTAACTTTACAAAAAATTTTCCACATTATTTTTTTACTTTCGTTTAAACTAAATAGATCATGGTTAATCCACCCCGGATAAATGGGAATCTACTGCATTAACGTCACAAGAAGGACTCCACTCCACAATTTGGCTTTTGTGAATGACAAAATACCAAATTTTGCTGGAGCCATCAAGTCTCAATAATTTTTGAGAAGCTGTCAGCTGTCTCCCGTCCAAAAATCAATATGGAGGACCACCCCTTGTCGACTATACACGACTGCTCAATATAGTCACAGCTAACCTCCTTATTTGAAGTCGTTGTTCTCAATCCGTAATTTGAAGATGGACCATGCCATGATAAAAATTGAACCAATTAACACGAGTCCCTAATCATTTGTAAATACAAATTTTTCCTTTCATTTTCTGGCACTAGATCGTGGCCCACGAGTTGCTAACCATTGTGATAAACTATTGTCGAAAGTTATCAATCACGACACAACGTATCTCATAAAAGACACCCCCTTCGTTATTATAGGCGGGTATTTATCTTTCTCTTCCGCATTGTACTTGCTGACGTACTGAGAAAAGAAACTGTTGACGCCGAAATATAAGACAAAGAACAGTGTTTATTGTTTCAGTGTTCCTTTGTCAGATAAATATTCAGAACAGGAGGTAAAATTCTGATCTTCTGCCCACCAGAAAAAAAGAAATATCATGTTTTCTTCCCAACCGTATTTTCCACAGCCTGCTCCTCCCCTACCAATGGATTTTCCAATCCAAGGCATATCCATCACATGACCTGCCTTTCGTGTGTTCTGCCAAGTCCGTCCAACGTCAAGCCAATTGCCCGCTAGTGGTTAGTTTAGTGTCTCTTTCCAGTGATCCAGACGAACAGAAAAATTAAAAAAAATGAATGTGAAATTTTTCAAAAAAACTAGGTTTTGCGCGCTTTTTGGATAACTTCCAGCACTTTTTGTTTATTTGAAATTTTTCGAATTTTACAAAATTCTCCCCACCTGATACCTTGTAGAACCCGTCTCTGTCGGACTGTCTCTTTGTATTGTGTCTGTAAAGAACACGGACGTTGCCTCACACGGCCTCTGACGTGCAGTCTCTGAAAAGCCCAGGTGCAGCAGCCACCACGTAAGGCAACGAACGAGACGGGAAGAGACACCATCGGCGAAAAACCGCGGCCTGCAGAGACCGGTTGATGCAGACAGCGTGGCAGGTTGCAACCGGGTGAGACAGAGCCCGAGTTTGGCAGAGACAGGGTGAGGCATTCACCGAGGCTGTAAGCATCTCATGGGGAGAGTTTTGAAAAAGTTGAAAATTTTTGAAATAACAAAAAATGCTAGAAATTGTCTGAAAAGCGCACTAAACCAAAATTGTTTTCAAAATTTGAAAAAAAAAATCAAAGTGAATTTTTTCAAAAATATTGTTTTGTGCGATTTATATATTTTCCTGCATTTTTTGATTTTTCGAAAATTTTCGAATTTTTCAAAATTTGTTTCAAAATTATCCCTAAATGATACCTTGCAGAACCGATCTCTGTCGGACTGTCTCCTTGAACTATGTCCCTGACGAACGAGGTCGTTGCATCACACGGCTTCTGACGTGCAGTCTCCGAAGAGAACCAGGTGCGGCAGCCACCACGTAGGGCAGAGACACACCGCGCAGAGATACGTTCGGCCACACACCGAGTCCTGCAGAGGCCGGTTGTGCAGACTTCGAGGCTGTAAGCATCTCATAGGGAAAGTTTTGAAATAGTTGAAACTTTTCAAAATTTTCGTAAAATCTAAAAATGCTGGAAATTGTATGAAAGGCGAACAAAACCAACATTTTTTTAAAAATTCGAAAAAGATTTGAATGTAAAAATTTTCAAAATTTTTATGCTTTGTGCGCTTTTTGCATAATTTCCAGCATTTTTTAATTTTTCTGAAATTTTCGATTTTTTCAAAATTTTTATCGAATTCTCCCCACCTGATATCTTGCAGAGCCGGTCTCTGTCGGACTGTCTCCTTGTACTGTGTCTCTGACGAACGCCGTCGTTGCATCAAACGAACTATTGACGTGCAGTCTCTGAAAACCCCAGGAGCGGCAGACACCACGTAAGGTAGAGTCCAAGACGTGCAACCAACCAACCAAAAAAGCTAACTGAGGGCGGAGTCCTGAGCAAGCGCAAGCAACGTCCCTACCTAGGTGACACCATACCTGCGCAAAAGGCGTATTGCTGGAAATGGTACACGGTCTTAACTAGCTAACGGGGTTTCGTCGTGGCGAGAACCTCGACCATTACAACTGGGATCCGTTGCTGCTGATGGGAGGTTATCCCGTCAGGCAAGTTGTCCAAAGGAATTT